AAAGCTGATGAGACGAACACAACTAAAAAATAGAACCTGATAGAATGAAAATCGCTCCAAAACAGTGCATCAGTTGGAAAACTTGTGGCGGTGTAGAGGAGTTTTGCAACAAACAGGGGATACTTCAGAATCAATATGCATTTATTTACCGAAGATGAACGAAGTGCAGCGATTTAAATTTGATAGAATTTACATTAACTATAAATTCAAATTTTACAGTAGCTTTCTCTGGGGAGCAGAATTTAAATAGGAGACTTCACCGGCCTTTTCTCAAAAAAGGGAATAGTCCCGCTTTTAATTCTGCTACCCCGAAATTTATATTTCTAAATCTAAGTAGCTTTCTGTTTCTTTTAAAAAAATTTTACGGGGGAATCGAAATGAATTTTTGTTGATTGGTTGCGTCCATCGCGGTTCCCCCTATTTGTTTTTTAATAAAATACCATGGCACGAACGGTCTCTATTATTTTTCACGAGCCATAACCAACCAAGTTCCCTTGCACTAAGCGAAGGCGACACACCCGATCGCTTGCTTTTTCAGGCGACTCACCCAGAAGAGCACGTGCAGACGGAACTTTGGTCGTTGTTTGGTCGTTGTTTTGAATCACCCAAAGAATAAGTTCAATTACGAATTCTAAGCGTCTAGTTGACTCAATACAATCTTAGCAAGTCCCAAACAAGGGAAAAATATATTTGGCAAACCGTTTTCCAAGACTATTTTACCTTATAAACTTTCCTAAGGCCTCGTTTTTTTACAGAAAGATTCATTTAATATACACTTTTTACAAAGTCTTCTTGCACTAAGCGAAGGCGACTCACCCGATCGCTCGCTTTTAATCAGGCGACACACCCAACATAAAAGCACGTACAGAATACCCTGAACCATGTTCATGAATTTGTTGTTCGTGAATTATATCAAAGCTCTCTGCCCGTGAAAAATAATAGAGACCGTTTGCGCAGTCGTATTTTATTAAAAAAAACAAACAAATAGGGGTGAACCGCGATGGACACAACCAATCAACCAAAACTCATTTCGATTCCTCCGTAAAAATTTTTAAAAGAAAAAGAAAGCTACTTAGATTTAGGGCCTTACAAATAACAAGCAAAATTTAACACTCAACCCCTTCTCTGTGAAGTACCTTAGGTAGGTCGGTAGGGGTATGGGTAACACGAGCGTCTGATATTTTTAACGTGTTTCATTTCATTTTTGATCAAAATAAAAAGCTTTTATGAGGTTTATACTTGGAATAGCCCTTATTAATGGCTTTGTAGCACAATTTGCTGCCAGTGGGAGTCATATCCGCCTATTCGATACTAGGAAAACGATTATTTTCATAGGCAGAGCTCCGTCCGGCTGTGTTGAGAACGCATGCAACAACGCAATATTACGCGATAATTACTGGCCTTATTGTTGTGCAAAGAGTGTTTTAACTGAAGATAATTTTCTCATTAATTGAAACAAAGATCTGAGCATGAAGTGACAACTATAAATCGCACTGGATCATGATGAAGCATTTAAACATCGGCAACAAGCAAAACAGTTGAAAAAAGATCAGAGATATAGCAATTTGGCCACTACGTGTGTATGTGTTATAAAACACGGACGTCTATAATTTTCAAAACATTCCTTTGTTTATCAAAAAATGTCGCACGAAATTAATAGAGCTTTTCGACTTCTTTATTAGGGTGCTTTTTGTACACAAAATTGCCTCCAGTGAAAGTTGTGCTGCGCCTGTTTCTTCCTAAACACGAGCTGTACGATCGGGAGCGCCACATTAAATTTGGCGGGCATTTAATAGGTTTTGGCGCGGACATGTTCGAAGCAGAAATAAATAAATTAAAGGAAAAAAATCGAACACTGTGCTTACCTTTAAGGAGTCTTACGATTAATCAAGTCATTATACAAACCAGAATTAATGTGTCGCAAGGTAAACCTACTGATCTAAGGCTGAATTGGCCTCGCATTTGAACCCATGTGAAGAAGGAAGGCTGGCCATCTCCGGTTTTCAGAAGAGAAGCTTGAATTCTCCTAACCTGTCCGATCTGTTTAAATGTTCTTGAAATACCAATCGCTTCTAAGGGAAGCGATTTTGATCGCGAATCAACACAGAAATTCTCGACCAGGAAACGGCAAAAAGTAACCCACATATACTCCATACAATGATGGCTTGATTGGGCTGATCCGATCCGGAGAATTGTTGAAACGACCGCGCTCGACTTTATTTACATGTTTTTACCCCGCCTAGTATTGCTTTAACCATATTAACAGACAGTTGCGAAATTTAGAATCGTTTCATCGCCTCTGTGAAGATCACTACCGATGACAGCTAATCTGACCCCTGCTAACATGCACGAGGTCGGAGGTAAAATTCTAACAGGAAATTGAGTATAGCAACCGTCACTCAAGATAATTAAAAAAGGGACTTTACGCGGCTCCTCATGTAATGATAACAGGACTGAGTTGTGTACAATTCAGGGAGTAATCAGGCCATTAATTTAAAATTACCAGCCCGAATAACAGCAGGAAGTTCCTACAAACTGCGAATTCTCAATCATATTGCATACCGTTCATTTTACAATTAAGAAATTGGATCGAATTCTTTCAGTTCATCGATTATCTCCTGCATGGCTGGTCTCGCCCCAGGCTCTCTTTGCATGCATCGCCGCACCAGGAAACGAAACACACCGTTCGTTACAAGCACCACTTGTTCGTTACGCCCTTGAGGATCTGGAAGTTGTCGGATGCACATTTCGCAAAGAAGAGCACCAAAGCTGTAGACATCAACCTAACAACAATAAAACATAATTTGAGGAAGTCAATATTGTTAAAAAAAAATGCACTTTATTTGAGTGTCAAGGTATTTAGCACGAAAATACTTATTCGGGACAATATTCTCAATTATTTTAAGACCCTGAGTATAGGTCCGACCCCGGGAATTGAACCCGCGACCTTCCGCTCTGCAGTCAAGCGCTCTACTTACTGAGCTAATCCTGCCGCGGTTGGTAAACACCCAAAGAGGTTTGGTTTTTATTACATGCGTCGCAGACGTAATCTAACCCCGGTTATTAATGTCTGCGAAGCAGCGCCGATAGGCCTTGTTCAGTTTTGTTCTGGACCCCTATGGACTCAACGAATTACCGGAAGTGTGAAGTTTGAAGTTTATTAATTCATGAATACATAGCAGTTCGAAAACTGAATTGCGTATTTACGTTACAAAAGTTATATTATAGATCTAAACATTAACTAGCCTGTGAACAGGCTCTCTGTTTAGGGGAAAAAATAGCAAGGAAAAGGAAGGGAAAGGAGGGGAGAGAGCCTGTAGACAAACACTTGAGGCCGCTATTCCGCCCTCTTGTAATTATCTTGCCGAACACCTGTCAGTAAGATCGCTATCTGTCAATCAATTTCGCGCGTGAGTAGCTCCTGGGAAAATTAACGGGAAATGAGCCATGTTTTGCTCCGTCTGAAAACAAAGTGAAATGGACCGCAAGCCTAATTGTCGATTTTGCAAAAAGTCGTTGATCTCCGATAAGAGAATTAATACGGTGCCGCTCTTTGGCGTTTCAAGAAATAAGACCTTGCTGGTTGACAGTGGCCAAGACAGCGTATTACCAGCGCAAGCATTTGAATCCTCAAGATTTCCCGTTGAGCAAGGAGAAATCTTTTCCGATTTAAGATGCTTAACTAGTGCCCGACGGGCCGCTCGTCTTGCTAGTTCAGTTTATAATTTAACAAGCCCCTGCAATGAGCTAACTTGGACTGCGAAAGTTACAGATACTATCATGACTTCTCCAGAACGTGAAGCTCCAAAGACAAGTAAAAAGAGATTAGCAGCGCTTCGATCGCAGACAGGAATTACACCCTTGGGTATTAATCCCGAATTTATAGCAATAAAAGGGGGCGGTAGGCCCACACGACGTTTACCTCATGCCAAAATGCTTCTTCTTCCCATAAGTTTTTTTCTCTGCTGGGTAGATTGTGCGCTGGAAGGTTCTACATTTTCACTGAGTAAATGTGATTTTAGCCGCTTGTTTCACACTGAGAGGTCATGGCACACATATCGATTTACTGCGGTTTTTGCCTCTGGTCAACAGGATTTGCCCTCTGATGCAAGAGCATTTTATTTGACCTCTTTTGAAGCGTAAAGCTTTTTACTGCGGCTGAATGAGGGTCTTACTTTTCTCCAAAGTGCCTTCCGGTTCTGATAAACTAAGCGATTTTCTTTAGTCCGTGAATGTAATGTTTTTCTAAAATGCTGTCGCACGCTGGGCCCAGCTCGTTAGTTTTCTTTGCAGAAAAAAAAATGCACTTTTTATTTGAGTGTCAATGTATTTAGCACGAAAGTACTAATTGGGGCCATTTTCATCCACAGCCACATTAATTTGGCTTATAAAAGTCCGTTCATAATTCGCGACCTCAGATCTCGCACAATTACAGCCGCCGCGCAAGCGAAAGATGCAGTCCGTGTTCGATCTGTCAGTTGGAACAACATACTTTTTACTTCAAAATTAACTGTGGGATGATGCAGTGTGGTCCTTTGTGGAATTAGTAGAAATCTCTAAAGCATTGCACAAGTGAGTTAACCAGTAAAGTAAAGTAACTAAAGAGCTTGATTTTTCAATATTTATTTACCCTATCGATGGCCGGGACTTTGTTGTTCGTGATAAAACTTAAGATATGTAGCCAACTGTCAAGATTACAAGTGACCTTGAAGACGTTGCATGAGTGTATCATCTTTTTCTTTTTGTTATTAGGCTTTAACCCGATAGAAGATCAGAACTATCATCAGATAACTCTTCCACGCTGGCAACCGCCAATGTTGGAAGCAATTCAAATCCCGCTTCTGTGACTCCGCTTGTGACGTATGATCAAAGCTCTGCTCTGATTGGATATTACTGAGAAGGCGTGAAAAGTATTCCGCAAAAGCTATTTCTATAAATAATTTTTCGTCGGAAAGGGTTGACTCCAAGGGCTTATATAGGAGATGGAGGCTCCAAGTAATCGGCCCTGACATTAACTAATCTATCTTAATTGAAAGGAATAAAAAGCTAACGAGAGATGAGATGCTAAAAAAAGTTATCGAAATACAAGCTGCGAAAGTCGAAAACTCTAACCTATAAGTTAGTTGCTTTAAGAAATGAAAAGATAAGAAAGCTAAACTGAACTTAAAACGGTCGGTTTTAAAACGTGGCATATTAAGAGCTCGCGCGCGCCTTAATAGGCTGATTTACCAACAGAACGGGAACGTCTGTTGACGACCGCGCGCGCAAATCAAACAACTGGATTGACCAATGGCAGAGCAGCAAATTCGGTACCGGAAGTCGAGTTTACGCCTTTCTGCGGGCTTACCCGTCGACAAATGACGTTCCCGTTCTGTTGCTAATTCAGCTTCATGAATAAGTAGATTCGTGCGGTGCAGGTAATAACTTAATATATAGATTTAGCCAGGGCTAAAAGCGAAGCTCCCGTTAATAAATTCATAATTTAAATCAAACAATAAACTTGTAATCCACAGATCAGGGCACATTCATTTGACTTTTGAGGCAAAGGCTGAGTGAGTTTAGAGAAAAATCAGAATTTGACCGTCCAAGAGTGAAACAAATTTTACATCAAGTTATTTGTACACCGAAAAATAGCAATCATGTTCGATCACAGTAGATTAGGCCTGGAAAACAAATAGACCTATTCGTGTATAATCTTCGTGTATTGTATTTGCATTAGCTGTAGCATCATAATGTGGCATTCACCAGTCTCTCCAACATTGCTCCGTTAGAGAGACTATGGATAATTTGACAACCCCGAAATATAATTTTAAGAAACACATGCGCCACGATAGTCCTTGGTGGCAGCCAATTTACACGTTGCATTCCTCTGTCTAAAAGAGAGGCCAAAACAAAAATCAGGCCGGATTTTTTGTGTTCGACAAGTTTAGTTTACTATAGTAAATCTTGGCGACGAATCTGGTGGCGTGTAAACCAGCCTTTTAAACATACTTTTTCTCATCACGTCTCAGGTAAACTGTACACAGACCTCGGACAGAATTTGTTCTTTTTTGCCCTATTTAAACCTATAATTCTGCAGTTTTTCACAATTTTGCAAGAGAATTTGCACTCATTCAATATCCACGACGATCAAAGCACGCGCTTCCTTTGCACAGCAAATTATAGCATTGAACATGATTGAATTATAAAACGTTTTCTGTTAGAAAAATCTGGTCCTCTGTGATATGCGGGGTAATAATTATGGGCTTTTAATGAAAACGATAAAAAAATTCCCAAAATCACTTTTCGGCCAGCCGGACGGGTTCTCACTTTTGACAGGCACCAAATTTGTAGTGCGATTAATAGAGTTACCATTTACGCTTCAACACGATAGGGAAATTGCTATGTTTAGGTTTTATTTCCCTTTATTTATTAAACTGTGTATGATTTTGTTATGTGTGATCTTTAAAAGCGAGTGATATTTACGCGCGGCGTTTTGAGTATTCCTACATGCGATGTTTATGTTCGACTGGAAACAACCGGTGCAGCGATGAAAATTGCGAGAGGGACTACTAACAATCAATAAAATAAGTTTAATTCGGTGAAACAGGTACAGAGACAATAATTTTCATTCACGAAGAGAGGAATTGAGAGTAAAGTGTCTCAGAAAATAATGAGTCAGGCAAGCATAAGCTTATTTACGTTTGAAGCCGGCTTCCCGGTGTTCGCTCTTTTTCAAGATGAACTCGAGGCAAGAAAATCGATCAGAGCTTTCTGTTTACAGCCAAAATCATAACTAAATAATCTTCGGAACCTTTTCTTTGAATTTGCGGGTCAAAAAATGTCTAAAGGCTTTTTAAACCTGATACTATTGTAGGTTAGATCATTGCTCGTGTTTTAACTTAAGCCGCATAAACCATACGCTCGACTTCAGGAAACCGAAAAAAGAAAAAAAAAACATCAAAAGCAATAATGGCTCAAGCTTACCAGTCGAGATGCTGCTTCTGAAGGTCATCAAGTGTTCCAGAATCGCTTGAGACTTTTTAACCTTCTTACGCCTCAGGCAAGGGCAAGTGAGTAAGCTCATTTTTGAAAACGATGCCATCCGAAATCGGATTTCCAATGACTTTGACAAGCAGTGCATTTGTCAACAAAAAGCGCAATAAACAAACCAGCCACGAATTACAGAACGATCTTGATAGCAGCTGTATTTCATTTTGTACACCAAGTAGAAAAAGACAGTTTAAAACATCACAAGATGACACAAAACTCTCTCAGCTCCAGCTATCAGTAAGCAAGTTTCCAGACGCTGCAAAAATTTTCCGCATAAACTCACCTGTCAAATTTTGACCAATCAGAACATAAAAGTTGGACGTAGAGCGTGATCAGCGCGTGACAGTGAGAAAATTCAAAAGCGATTGCTTTCCCTGCATGTAAATGTAAAAGCCGGTTGAATTTTCGTGTCCGAGATCAGTTTGAAATCAACATTTTAAAAGTGCGACTCATGAAACACGACTTATTTCATATGCATTTTAAAAAAATTGAACTTGAGCCTGCGATCATTTTAAAAGTAGCAACTTGTCAGCGAATACCTTCAATATATTACTCGAACTCAGAGGGTCGATACCTGAACCCGCGATACGGTCAGGCGATACTGGTCAGCAGAAACACTGTTTTGACAGCTGTCAATTAATCAAAACATGGATGTACAATATCAGGTTGCAGGCTCCCAAACTAGCTAGAAAGTGTGAGTTTAAACATTGGTATGCCTGTGGTGCGGACGGACGGAAGGTCGGGTGGTCAGTGTACGGTCACGTGATTGCCGAATTTTCTAGGATGGATAGATTTTCTATCCAAAGCTATGGGGCTTCGAATTGAGCCCGTGATCAAATAAAATATCAGTGCAAAACTTTAAACACTACGTGACCTCAATAGATAGAAAAATGAGCCCGCGATCCCCTCAGGTGATAATGGTCAGCGTATACTCTAGTTTGACAGCTGTCAATTAACCTTCATTAGAATGGCGAATATTCGAATTAACAGACTGCGAGTGTTGTTAGGACATTTCCGTCCGGCATGTAGTGGAAAATGCCAGATCGTGTACCTGACCGAACCTGAGCCCTCGTTATTAGTTTTCTGATAGCGGTCTGCACATGTCCCATTTTGACAGCTGTCAATTGACCTTAATTTGGCCTGCCAATGTAACTTTAAACGACTGTCAGCCAACTGACAGCCTTGCCCGGCGTAGTTTCGTTTTTATGTTGAATTGGTAAGTGTGACATATTATATCAGCTTATATATAGGGGCAAAACGACTGGTCTTTTATCTGAGCCCGCGAGACAGTCATGTGATAATTGTCAGCGGATGTCTGATTTTGACAGCTGTCAATCTAATCGTACTCATACGGATGGCTTGCATAACTGAGAGGCTAGTCAAGTTGTGCAAGATCTATTGTGACATTTGACATCGGCTTACATGAAGTGTGTGTACGGACGGGCGTACGCTACGTCATAACCAAATTTTCTGGGATGGATAGTTTACCAAATTTTCTTACCCATGGTGCTCCGCTGCGCGCGCGCTTCGCGCGCGCGGGAGCTCCGCTATAAAGGCGGTGATTGTTGTCATTTACAATTGTGTAAAAAAAAAGTGACTCACATAATTCGCCATGGCGGGTTGGTAATTACCCAAAGTTCATAATAACAAGAGCCTCATAATAGATAACACTTTTGCTCTCTTCTATATACGTTCCAATTTTTGCATTAAATATTTAGGGAAACTGAAGTGAAAGGCCCGGTATTGCATGGTCCATAATTGATCTAATACAACTAGAGTAGAAGAGCCCTGCGAGTGCTTAGCTCTCTTAAGTTGTACCAAAAAATATATTCTCTTAGAGGCCTTCTTAAGAATTTCATTAATATGGATATTCAAGGTGTTTCGAATTTCCTTACAAAATGATTGGTAAATTGGCTATGGCTCCTTTAACAGGCCAATCATGGCGTGTACTAAAATCCTGGTACACAGGTGGAGGCCTAGCCTCCCACGCAGACGTTTTTAGGGGAGCTCGTTTTTCATCCCTCCCAGGGATGAAAAACGAGCTCCCTCTAAAAAAGCCTGCGTGATAGGCTAGTGGAGGCCTAGAACAAAGAATTTGGGCGCTGTTTCGAAGACGTTACTTACCGGGGTTTGATTACGTTACGTCTGCGACCCAGGCTAGATTTTGATTGCAGGGACATTATTCGGGGCAGTTGTTCACCCCAGCTGAACTGAGTCCGCTGAGACCCAAACCGGAAAATTACAGTTGCCGATAAACACTGAGGTCCATTTAGAGGTACAAAAGCTCTTTAATATGAGAATCTATGAGCGGAATTTAGAGCAAAAATAGCGGTTATACGGGGACTGAAGGCAGACAAAAAACCCTTTTCAAATAACATTTTTTCAACCTTTATCAAAAGGTATTTTATGCCTGTATACATCAATGCATTTCCACGGGGACAACTTTTAGGAGTCTCGTTATTTATATAATCTACATGTTGTAGTGACTAAACGTCCTAAAGCTGCACCAGAGCCAATTCACTAATGAGATGGTCTAAATGAGGTTGACTGGTAACTTACAAGGGTAGGAGGGGGGAGAATTTGAGCGCGCGAAAATGCGGTCAGAGCCCAAGGGAGCTCATAGAAGAGATGATTGAAATTTCGCCGTAGTTTGTTCAAACAAAATATAAAATCTGGTAATGCTAAGCGGCAAAGGCAACGCCGGAGAACGGTGTAAGACAACAATAGGTCTAATTAGCAAAAAAGCAACTTTGCACGTGCAGCACACTTTTTTTGTACATTTCTTTGCAGCTGTTTTGCACGACTACAACGTGAAACTTGCTGAAACTTCTTAGTCACATGTTTTATTGAGGAAATGTCGTACGTTTTCTCGTTCACTTTTTTCTCACTGCTACGCATTTTCACCTTGCATTAATTGGTGACCGCTGGCATTTCTCATTTTGTCATTGCCGCTTTTGTTAGAGGAAAATTCCAATAAAAAAACTTGTCTCCTTTGTTTTTCATCTCTCGCTCTAGATCTCTGTCGCCCTATTTCTCGTTGAGCATTGCTGGCCTGCCGCCTACTTTCTCTTTTTCTCTGTCTTTCTCTTGCTCTAAATTCCAAATTTGTGGACATGACAATTATTCTTAGCTTAATACTTTAGAAAATACAGATGCAGAGACAATTTTCGCTTTTCGACTCTTTAGTTGTCTCTGCTTCACAAGACGCGGGTGGCTATGCGATTTCCCGTCAAAATAACCTCGAGTTGAATTTGGGTTGCCATACCTGTTTTTGAGATATTTTACATTGGTATGCCTGTTGTGCTGACGGACGGTCGGTCGGCCGGTCGGTGTAAGTCACGTGATTACCAAATTTTCTTACCCATGGTGCTCCGCTGCGCGCGCTTCCCCCTTCTCCGCTATTATCAATTTTGGTCATTTGTATGCAGCCTTCTTTTTATCCCAGCTGCATGTGGTTGAGAATTTCACACTTCACCTTACAAGCAAATGAGTATATTGAGGTTTCTCGGTCTTTGTGCGGCTTTGAATTGCATGGTGAGATATCAATGACAGTGGTCTTAAGGTGGCTCGACTGGATTTTTTGGGGTTGATACCTCCCAAGTTTGAGCATTAACTACGTCGGCATGAATAAAGATATGGAAAAAAGGTTACCACAACTGTATTACATAAAGATGAAAATTTCTTATGATCTGGGTTTTATTGCAATCGGAGTCGCCATGGCAACGTAATGACGCCATTACGTTTTTTATTTATCGTTGTGTTTCTCTGTACCAGGAGTTTTTTGAAGAAATCGCTTAAGGGAGTATGTACCTGCCATAATTGCCTCCATTATGGCAAAGTTTGAAGAAATTCTATGAGAGCGTTTTTGAGATATTTCGAAATGCAGTTTTAAGAATCATCAAAGCAGTGAAACAGCATGCTAGCCGCTCAGTTCGCTAATATTTTAAGAAAATGATAAGCTTTGGGAACGCAGCTTCATCTCATAGTGGTTTGATTCCATTGAAAACTGTATACAAAAAAAGAGAGGAATTGCTCTGGGCGATCGCGAGTAAGAAGAATTTTATTAACATGCATTCAGCTGCTTTTGATACAGTTTTTGGAGGTAATTTGGTCCATACCTAAAAGTTTCGCATTTTTCCAAAAACCGCTCGATAAATTTTTTTATAAATTCGACAATCCCGAGATCAATTTTCAAGAAATATTCCCTGCAAGTTTCAAGAACATTGAAAACAGGGAAGGCTTTTAAATAGGGACTCAAACATAACCAATTTTCCCCCCCAGATTTTGTGTTTTCAAGTGAGCGTCCTCATTATTCACTGGCATTGTTTTCAAGTTTCATATGCACGTGCGCAACTAGCAAAAGATATAAATTTGCATCAAAAAGAACTCTCGATTACTTTCCGAAGAAATATCCGGTATATGCTAATAATTGGCTTGTCGTCACAGATAGTAGTGAGAGCCGAAACGGTGAACGTCACGGCTCATCGTGTAGGATGCAATACTTGATTATCTTACTCGAGTTATAACATCACAGAAACTCTCACAAAGAGTTGCTCTGATGTTATAATGTATCACTAACCTCTTTACCCGGTAACTAGCATATCCCGGAGATTTAACCGAGGGTCCTTTTTGATTGAAATTCTATCTTTTTGCTAAATGTGCACGTGTATATGAAACTTGAAAACAATGCCAGTGAATAATGAGGACGCTCGCTTGTAAACACAAAATCTGGGGGGGAAATTGGCTATATTTGAGGCCCTATTTAAAAGCCTTCCCTGTTTTCAATGTTCTTGAAACTTGCAGGGAATATTTCTTGACAATTGATCTCGGAATTGTCGAATTTATAAAAAAAATCATCGATCGGTCTTTGGAAAAATGCGAAATTTTTAGGCATGGACCAAATTACCTCCAAAAGCTGTATCAAAAGCATCTGAATGCAAGTTAATAAAATCCTTCTTACTCGCGATCGCCCGGAGCAATTCCCCTCTTTTTTTGTACGCAGTTTTCAATGGAATCAATCCACTATGAGATGAAGCCGCGTTCCCAAAGCTTATCATTTTCTTAAAATATTAGCGAATTGTGCGGCTAGCATGCTATTTCACTGTTTTTATGATTCTTAAAACTGCATTTCAAAATATTTCGAAAACGCTCTCATAGAATTTCTTCAAACTTTGCCATAATGGAGGCAATTATAGCAGGTACATACTCCCTTAAGCGATTTCTTCAAAAAACTCCTGGTACAGAGAAACACAAAGATAAATAAAAAACGTAATGGCGTCATTACGTTCCTATGGCGACTCCGATTGCAATAAAACCCAGACCATAAGAAATTTTCATCTTTATGTAATACAGTTGTGGCAACCTTTTTTCCATATCTTTATTCATGCCGACGTAGATAAGGCTCAAACTTGGGAGGTATACCCCTAAAAAAATCCAGTCGAGCCACCTTAAAGCTGCTTATAGAACAGTAGAAATAGATCCTGACACTCGGTTATTCACGATACGATCATGATTGTGTTACCAAGGCACCAAGTAAGAGCACAAAAATGTTAGCCGGGCTGATCAAATTCAGTTCTTAGGAAACGAGTTAAAAGTTGTTTCTTCAGATCAACTGTACTAACGTCAAGTAGTTTTGCTGCTTGTCAAGTTGTAGAATAGTGAAAGTATTTTTAAAAAAAATGATACTTTGATACACAAGCAAGATAAAACGAACGAACAATTCACAATGTTGAAACTAAGCCATCAGAAATAGCTGCCTAACGATTAACGTATAAAATTATGCAAGGTCATACAAATAGTTTGTAAGAAGTATTTATCGAGAGACAGCGTACTTACTCTGGTAAGTACGGTAAGGCTTTCTACACGAACCGTATAGATTACTGTAAATTAAAGCTTACTGTATGGGACTCCCCAAAGAAAAAATCACTAAGCACTAAGTTGCCACGCGTGCAAAATGCTGCCACTAGATTGTTAATGGTTTTAGAAAGTATTCTCACATCATTCTAGTACTATACGAGTTATACTGGCATGGCTATCAGTGCAAACGCGCATACATTTCAAAGTTCTATTTTTAATTTTGAACGTCATTTACGGCCTCGCACCTGCACATATCAGCAATATTCTAGCTGTGAATTATAGGTCCTTGTATAATCTTAGTTCCACCTCAGGCGTTTTATTAAAAGTAGGATGATGGAAATACTGGGCGGGCGCGCAATTCAGGAAGCAGGGCCGCATTTGTGGAACTAGTGTCGATTGTGAATATTACAAATGAGACTAGCTCGCAGGTAGCTTTAGCTAATAGACTGAGGAGGGTGGGGAGACTCCTATTATAATTGCTCACTATTGAATTTGTAGAAATTTTGAAAAATTCAATCAACGCATTTCTCTTTGGCAATTTTGAGGTGGTGGTTAAATCCATGAACTTTATATAGCTCTTAAGGTTTGCATTATATCATATTATTTATTTTCTTAAGAGTTGTACATATTGAAATTGGTTGAAAAACAAGGGTCAATTTTACTGCACGAAATGTTGCTAATTAGGGAACTGACGATGCCTCTTAATGTCCAGTTGGACTCAATTCGAGCCAAAATGTTTTCGTCACATTGATTAATTTGTACTCGTTGATCTTCAGCCTACTTTCTGGTAGTTTATAGTAAAAATTTAATGGCTTCATGACGACGCCAAAACGTCAAATGTTTTCATCTTCATTGCTTTTTGTCTCTTTATGTATCAAAAAACCTTTGCTAATAATAATTTGATAGGAAATTTTGGCCGATTTCGTATGTAATACAGTCTTTCCTAATAAATTAACTTTAAGAAGAAGCATCCGCTAGCCATTCTGTCAATTATATCAAGGAATATGCTCAGAGGGGCGGAGTTCCCCTTAAATGGTAACATCTGAAAATTTGGTTCCTGGAGAGCGGCCATAATCCAGAGGGGCCATTTATAGCAAGTTGCTTCGTTTAAAACAGTCTGTAAAGGTAGAAATTCTTCTAACAACGGGCAGGTGAGATTTAAAGTGTTTTAAGTAGAAATTCATGGCCACGAGATCGGTCACTTGAATGAATAATATGCTGTTTTAGGCAATGAACAAGAAGTTAGGAAAAAGAAGACTTAATTTTGAAACATTTACCACCTTACCATAGTTAAGAAATTTTAAAAGGAAAAAAGAATCATAATTATGATAGTAGTAATATAGGGTTATTTTACTTCTGTTTAATACCTTCCCCTGCCTTCCGTAAGCCTTCCCTTTATTAATATGTGTAAGCGTCGTCCTTGCATACAAATTTAGTTCTTTCCGCCGTTGCATATTAATTATGTGCCTAGTCAGTGTCTAGCTAGCTGGGTAAAAATATGTTCCTCCAAACTAATTAAGTGCCTTTTTCCATTTGTAATGAGCGTTTCTCTACTACAATAGGCACAATAGGCTTGCCCGGTCCCTTTTAACCCTGATTGGCTCTTGTAGGACATAAGATTTGTTCAAAATAAAAGCGGGTAGATTTCGAAAGCGCTATCGTTCTTGCAATCGCTTTGTTAGGAAGCAATTTGTTCGAGTTCGTGTGTTTGAGAAAACTTTTAACAACTTTTTATCACCATGGGTTTTATTACCAACGCTGATGAGCTTCAAGCTCTTTTGGACGCTTGTTCCCAGACCCGAGAATGGGAACTTTTGATCCAGTCTATTTTAATTCCCGATGAGTAGATCCCAATGGCGTAAGCTCGGCTATTAGAACTAACAGCGGGAGCGATTACTTACCAACGCGAGAAACGGCTTACTATATCTTTTTTAGCGCTCAAAACCGGATATATAAACAAACCGCATACACAAAGTGGAGCTGAGAACTCTCTATTTCAATTTAGCTTATGTCTTCTTATTATTTAGCGCTAAAAGTTCAAGTTTATGGTAGCATAAACTGTTGTTAATAAGCCTGAGAATGATGCCCTATGAAAGCACACTTAGGACATACTAGCAACAATCATATCTTGGTTCTTATGTCACACAACGTGAACATTTGTATAAGCTTTTGTACTCAGTAATGGTAGATACTAGTTCAAAGTACAAGAAAGAACAATGAACACTAAGTAGTTGTTTGATTACAATGTATCCTTCTTCTTTGGCAAAGTCCACTGTAATGTAGCATGATATATTCCTAGACTCCACAAAGGTTCCATTCATATTATCACATGCTTATCATGCACGTGTGCTCCTCTTTTTGCCGTACACTGTCCTTTCCCAGTCAGTTCGTTTAGAGCTTCGGTTCATTCACAACAGTGTGTTTTCCCTCCCACCCACCCCTTTGTTCTGACTGGAACCTTTGTTCAGTTCTTCGATTACTTCTTATGTGCCCTATATATTTCAAATCAAATGAAAATCTTTATCTCACTTCGCATTCCAAAAGATAGCATCAACTAATGCTCATATCTCCGAAGGTATAGCAAAAACAAATAGAATATAAATGACAATGGTAATTAGAATAAAGTAATACTATATATTATGTACAAGTTTACGATAATGCAGAAACAAGACAATTATTTTATACAGTGTGTCTACAGTACCTAGCGATAATTAAAACTAATTACAAAGCAGCAGCATTTATTATGACTTATTAATGCTCTTAATTTTTTGGATTTGAAAACGTGTAATGATGCAGCAGTTCTAAGTACCTCTAGGAGCATATTCCAATATGGGCTGGCAGAGTAGCAGAGTAGCAGTATTTAGCACGACCAGAACATATTTTAAGCAGGTCATTACCTTATTCCCCTATATATATATGTATCCTTAAGATTAATCATTTATATTATGGTGTTATACTCGACTAGGTCTGATTACTTCATTAGGTTCCTGGGATATGAAACTGCTGTCTGGCTTCCAAATAAAAGGAGTGGCAGGGAAGTGCAACCCCAGGCTGCACTTTACCCCACAGTAAGGCTTAGCCCTTGGAGACAGGTCCGGAAAAATAGCCACTCCAGGGTGTGGACCCCCGGTCCCACCTGATCTGTACTCCACCCAGGAGGGCCACCCCTCCTGATTCCCCTCAGTTCCTGTACTGGGGGATATGGGCCTCACCCCCGGAGACTGATCAGGACTCCTGTCCAGGGTGGCTACCCCCGGTACCACTCGATCTTGTCTCCCCCCAGGAGGGCTTCTCTCCTGGTCCCCTTATCCCTAGATTTAAGCGCTTCCCTGCCACCAGAATTTTGCCCATTACCCTTTGTGTGTTTTCTATGTGGTACTGACATAAGCATTTATGCGGGAAAAACACTGCCAATTGGAAGAGTTTATTAACTTAGATATATAAACAAAACACACACACAGATACACAAAGTGGAGCCTTAAACTCTCCATTTCATATCTGTCTGACTATTACAAAACCGCTTTCTGCTTTCTATCTCGAGGAAATGAAAACTATTAAAGTCTAAGCGTTTCACGTGCCAGTAGTCAGTTAATTATGAGAGTTAACAAGCCCACCGTTACATACAAATTAGTTCAGCTCTGCAGTAAAAAGCCCGAGGGACGTATTATTATAAAAACCAATAACTTAACAAGGATCAATCGTTAATGTTGAGAACTGATGACTTTGACTTTTAAATGGACCCACGTTTTACCTGAGGTGTCTTTTCAGAGGCATTAATCACAGGTAGCCCAAGCTCGAAATATATGCATCGGTGAGCATCGGCATTGTTGCGTAACATTCAAAATATAAGGATTTGTATGGGAAAAAAACCTATCGTTCCGTAACCTACGAAAGGGAAAGGATTTCAATAAAAAACAGCTTACCTTACTTAAAATGTGTGATACGTCTCTCCTGAGTGGTCCACCGGCCGATTTATGGAGAGACGTAACACACTTTTTATAAAGCTAATTGAAAGGATTTTTCATGGTGCTATTCTGATCCTTTCAAATGTACTATATATTCTATTTCGATAAAAACTTTATGCTTTTTATCATCACTCTCAGCTCAGTAATAAAAGTGGCCCAGTTCCTGTCCTCCCAAAACCGGTTTGTCCTGAAAAACCGGTATTGACCCTCCCACATGCTGAGAGGGCGCCATTTTGAATAAATCTCGCTTAGTTATCTGACCTAGACTACTGCCGTAAGGGGCAAGGCCAACAAGTAAGCTCTCATGCTGGGGCTTATGGTAGACTCACTGGAACAGTCTACTCGAGTAATGTATAAGTAATATTTTAAGATCACTAGAAAATTACAAATTAAGAATTCGTGAAGCTCAGTTATGCGGTTTATCTCTTCTTTTAATCGAGTAGTAAACCGCCAAAACATTCCACTTTTCCTTTAAGTGCTTGAGTGAGGTGATAGCATCGTCGGAAATCTAGCAGGTTCCCAGGGCGCTGAAATTTGGTTTTCTTGAAGAAGCAAATTATGGTCCAAATGATGTTTGGCGATCGATCGACTCGGGTGAATTAAGGAATAGGTCTCTAGAAATTTGTGAGGGGTTGGTCTAGTTTAAAAGAGATTTAACTTTTCGACTTGAAACTTTGCATGCGGTAAATACTTTTTAAAAATGTTCTCATCCGTTGTCACTAATAAGCTATCTTAGTCACGTGACTTGTCACGCCTATTTTTTGCCATTTAGCTGGGTCCAATTTTACAACATTTTACAAATACTGGTTGGGATTTATTTTGTTTTCTTTCAATGACTATTAACACCAGGTTTATGGAATTAATCGGGGTTTTTAGAAATTATTTGTTTTGAGTGAACTATAACGTCTCCAGTTTACAGTGGGACTGGGTCGAGGAGAAAACATTTGGTAATTACATAGGAATAAAATATTTTGCAATTGCCCGGTTAGTTTCACTCATTTGACTTTACACTTAACACTATGGAAAAATAAACGGAAGCTTCAACAGTCATTTTCATGAGGTAATCTGAAAATATTTAATTTTGCATAATTATTGGCGTGACTGGTCACGTGACCTTAAGCAGCACAGTGTGAGCTCCAAAAATGGTTCCAATCTTAAGCATATGCGTTTAAGTAATGAAATGAAAAGAGATGGCAGACAAAAAATGAAAAAATGAAAGAAGCCCAAAATACTAGAGCGAGGAGCCATGCCTTAGTTGTGTCTGTTAATGATTTTAGCTTCTGGAGCCATTTCGAGGCCGTTTTGGAGTTGTACCTATTCTCCTGCTGATCAATAATAATAATAATAGTAATAATTGTAGTTATAATAATAATAATAAGTATTATTATTATGCATTTCTTTTTTCGATACAATACATATCAAACGGTACACAAATTAATTAAGGAGCTTACAGTAAGAATTTCTCATAGTGTTCAATTGTATTTGAAACTAAACCTATTTAAAAAGCTACTTTTAAAACGTTCAGTGTTTATCCTAGGTAACTCACCAGATCTTTGTTTTAATCTAAGGGAGGACCATTTGGCTTGGGGCAACATAGGGTACAATGGGTAAGAACTGTCGCTTCTAATTTTCTTGAAGAGTTTCCTATCACATTTGTCCAACAGCTAGCTAAGTGCTCGTGGATATTATAAATTTTTGAGGAGTAGCGCCTCTTGAAACATCTTTTCAGGAAGCATTGTACTGTATTTAAATCCGCGTGGCATGAGCCATAAACAGGGAGACCATACACTCTTCTAGGAAGAACGAGCCTTTAAAAAGATGATCGATTTCGTCTTGGCTATAACCCTATTTCCTAAGTTCTCTTATTATGTAAACACATTTGTTCGCTTCATTTAGTTACGTTTAACAAATGCTTAGCAAATATATCAATTTAAATCCTAAACCAACCACCCCTTTTACTCTCTTTTACTCTCAATTTGGCCCTGTTTTCGAAGCACGGCATGTTTATTGTCTTTCTTTACTTTTTAATATAATTGTTGTTGTTGTACTCAGAGTCTCAGCCCGCTTGTTATACCCAATTCGTGTTCCGCGTCCGCGGTCCAAGTTTATATTTGTCAAAAATATATTTGTTATATTTGTTAAACCCACTTTAAGATAATGCATTAGAATGCTGATTCGCCATTTGGCTCCCACTGAATCTTAACATCCAAATGAGAAAACTTGTTGCTAAGACCCTATGTTCAGGAAATGACAATATCCTGGTCTCATTTCGTTTTTCTACACGTTAGCAATAAAAACGAAACATTTGTTAACTTTAATGTACTTGATATTAAACTTACTATTACATGAAAGAACATCATCGCAGTTATAATAGACGAAAGGCTGAAAAAATTCAGGCTTGTACGGGATTCGAAGGCTTGACCTCTGCGATACCGGTGCAGCGCTCTACCAATTGAGCTAACAAGCCAGCTGGGAGCATGTCGTGTATTAAACCCTTTGAATGATGATAATGATGATGATCATATTCCTTTCAAGGTTTAATACCAACCAATTCACCAGGTTTAGTACGAATCAATTCAACGACCTGCTCCCAATTGTCTTGTTAGCTCAATTGGTAGAGCGCTGCATCTGTATCGCAGAGGTCAAGAGTAGTAATAGACGAGGGGTTCTACGCAGTGGTGGAGGTGGTGGAGTGACGTCACAATAGCTCAGGGGATTAAAATGATGAGATCATCATCTAAAAATAGAAAGGTAGTCTGTATAACAATCTAGGGAGTTGACGTCATCAAAAAACGATGAGATCATCATCAAAATAATCATTTAATATGGTAACTGGTGAGATGACATCATCAGCTTAATTAAATTAGAAAGGGTTTTTTGACATGGTCAGCTATTTTCTTTAATCTATTACATCATTATTTATCTTTATCTTTTTAAGACCATATGAATGAAGGTTATTATAATTATTAATTATTATCGTCATTCAAAACGAAAATGGGTATTATTCAGTCTTTCATAAGAATAAAGCTTAATTATTATCGTATGATCGCGAGGGTCATAGTTCCCCCCTCAAAAGAAATAATGTCTCTCAAGAAAACATTTTGCGACCTCCCAGGGTCAACAATTTCCAAGCTGAAAGAACTCCATTCTGAAGTATTTCTAAAAGTTAATTTGGGCAGACTCTTGGTGTTCTTGAAATTTGCAGAGGATCTGGAACTGACGCAGGAAGAATGGGGACAATTATATATTGCTGTTATTCATCCCACTTTAATAATCAAATTTGAGAGCTGTAATATGAGGCGATGATGTAGGCAGTAAAATCATGTAAGACTCGAACATTGCGATGTGATTAGAGCGATGGGTTGTTGTCCACCATCGACCACTTTTGGACATCGTTAGTCGGTTCATTATGCGAGTTCGCAAGCCCACCGCTGCATACAAATTAGTACAGCTCTGCAGGAAAAGCCCCAAGAGAGAACCTTCAAGTGACTTATTATCATAAAAACAATAAAAACATAAAACAACTTAACAAGGATCAATTGAAACACGCGACTTACAATTGTGAGCAATAGAGTTTTTAAAAAACTTTATTAAAAACCAATAACAAAACGAGCCAAAATACACAGCGATTTGAAAGGAAAAGGAATGAAAATTAATCCTTTGACTGACCATTACAAATTCGTTTTCTCCGTTTTATTACGAGGAATAATAAATAATCCTTCCGTGTCTACACAGTTTTCCTATAGCCTCTAAGCCGAGAGTTCGACTTTCTTTGTTTCTTTCGGTTTGTCTTGTTCTTTAATTGTAGTTGTTCTTTTAGCTTTTGCTTTAAAAGAGGCTTTATTTCTTCGTGATCTTGACAGTTCGTACACCGTTTCTTGTGTCTGTACTGGACTGCGAGTACTAGTTGAGTGATTTTTTCCGGAATTATCCGCTTCACTTTCGTAAACGACAACTTTAACTTTAGGCTGCAGTTTCGCCTCTTGTAAATACTGTCTTCTCTGTAAGTGGTCTAACTGATGAACATCCGCGAGATGGTTAGCTAATCTGACAAGGTACTTCGCCCCGCACCATGAAATCGGACAGTTTCTGCAAACTCTCTTGTAAACCATGTTCAAAAAACTGTTTTAACAGTTCGATGGCTGAACACAAATGACTACTATTTCGCAAATAGTCAGGTTATACAGAGTATTAGAAAGGCCAAACACAGGCCCGAAAGGCCATAACCAGGCCAGAAAGGCCAAAACCAGGCCAAAAGAGACAAAAGGAGACAAACGGGCCATTTTCAAACATGTTTTTTTTTTCTCGTAAACACGCGTGGGTGTCGCGCGTCGCTAGTTACCCAACAGCTTTTAATATTGGAATCATCATCTTTATTAAGTGTAATCACAAATAACAGTGCCTTTGTTCTTTCTTTAGTAATTGGTATTTCAAATTTCAGATTTGTTATTTATTGCACAAGTTTACTATTATTGTTATTATGATCAAGTCATCAATAAAACACACTTTAAGTTTGGTTTTAGGGCTTTTATTGAAATGCAACAATACAAAGGTTCAGGAAATAAAAAATTCTGTAACATTCATAGAAGGTCTAGTCTTGATCTTGTGGAATGGGCTGGTTTTGGTACAATCGATTGAGTAAGAATTTTCGCTTATCGATAGCAAGTTCTGTTGACTCCAACCAATCAAATCCTTCTGTGTCTTTAAGCTCTTTTTGAGTTTCCATCACTTTTTTGAAGGTGGGATCCTTTTTCATTACACGCATCCACTGTAGATTCTCTAAAGAGTACTTTTCTCAGCTCTTTTCTGTAAACAGGAAGAGGAGCGTTCTCGGCTTTCACGCGGGCCACATTTTCTGAATCTCCGTTCCCTTCGTACTCACTGATCAATGCATTGAGCTGAGTCTCATGGCGTTTCTCGGCTTCATCAAATATGCGTGACCAAGGCTCTAAGCTTTCTGTTTCTTCTTGGGAAGACTCCGTTCCTTGGCTAGAGACTTCGCTTTCTTCGCTGTCTTGGTTGTCTTCGCTGTCTTCATATTTTCCAGCACCTTTTTGAATAAAGTTGTAATTTGGAGGTCACTGTTCCACATTTTTTTGGTTTGAACCGCACGCGTTGTGATAGGAAACCAAACAACAGAAAGTAACGCGTCTCTTTTATAGAAAAATGGGTGAAGGCGGGGTTACTAAGCGTTCTCCTTGATAAACAATAATCGATCTTACATCGACCAGTTATTTAGAACATCAGACGGGCCAAAGCAAGGGTAAAAAGGCCAAACGAAGGTAAAAAGGGCCAAACGAAGATCAAGACTCGACGTGCTATAAATGTTACAGAATTTTTTATTTCCTGAACCTTTGTATTGTTGTATTTCAATAAAAACCATAAACAACCAAACTTAAAGTGTGTTTTATTGATGACTTGATCATAATAACAATAACAGTAAACTTGTGCAATAAATAACAAATCTGAAATTTGAAATACCAATTACTAAAGAAAGAACAAAACTTTTTAATTAGGCACTGTTATTTGTGATTACACTTAATAAAGATGATGATTCCAATATTAAAAGCTGTTGGGTAACTAGCGACGCGCGACACCCACGCGTGTTTACGAGAAAAAAAAACATGTCTGAAAATGGCCCGTTTGTCTCCTTTTGTCTCTTTTGGCCTGGTTTTGGCCTTTCTGGCCTGGTTATGGCCTTTCGGGCCTGTGTTTGGCCTTTCTAATACTCTGTATAACCTGACTATTTGCGAAATAGTAGTCATTTGTGTTCAGCCATCGAACTGTTAACACAGTTTTTTGAACATGGTTTACAAGAGAGTTTGCAGAAACTGTCCGATTTCATGGTGCGGGGCGAAGTACCTTGTCAGATTAGCTAACCATCTCGCGGATGTTCATCAGTTAGACCACTTACAGAGAAGACAGTATTTACAAGAGGCGAAACTGCAGCCTAAAGTTAAAGTTGTCGTTTACGAAAGTGAAGCGGATAATTCCGGAAAAAATCACTCAACTAGTACTCGCAGTCCAGTACAGACACAAGAAACGGTGTACGAACTGTCAAGATCACGAAGAAATAAAGCCTCTTTTAAAGCAAAAGCTAAAAGAACAACTACAATTAAAGAACAAGACAAACCGAAAGAAACAAAGAAAGTCGAACTCTTGGCTTAGAGGCTATAGGAAAACTGTGTAGACACGGAAGGATTATTTATTATTCCTCGTAATAAAACGGAGAAAACGAATTTGTAATAGTCAGTCAAAGGATTAATTTTCATTCCTTTTCCTTTCAAATCGCTGTGTATTTTGGCTCTTTTTGTTATTGGTTTTTAATAAAGTTTTTTAAAAACTCTATTGCTCACAATTGTAAGTCGCGTGTTTCAATTGATCCTTGTTAAGTTGTTTTATGTTTTTATTGTTTTTATGATAATAAGTCACTTGAAGGTTCTCTCTTGGGGCTTTTCCTGCAGAGCTGTACTAATTTGTATGCAGCGGTGGGCTTGCGAACTCGCATAATGAACCGACTAACGATGTCCAAAAGTGGTCGATGGTGGACAACAACCCATCGCTCTAATCACATCGCAATGTTCGAGTCTTACATGATTTTACTGCCTACATCATCGCCTCATATTACAGCTCTCAAATTTGATTATTAAAGTGGGATGAATAACAGCAATATATAATTGTCCCCATTCTTCCTGCGTCAGTTCCAGATCCTCTGCAAATTTCAAGAACACCAAGAGTCTGCCCAAATTAACTTTTAGAAATACTTCAGAATGGAGTTCTTTCAGCTTGGAAATTGTTGACCCTGGGAGGTCGCAAAATGTTTTCTTGAGAAACATTATTTCTTTTGAGGGGGGAACTATGACCCTCGCGATCATACGATAATAATTAAGCTTTATTCTTATGAAAGACTGAATAATACCCATTTTCGTTTTGAATGACGATAATAATTAATAATTATAATAACCTTCATTCATATGGTCTTAAAAAGATAAAGATAAATAATGATGTAATAGATTAAAGAAAATAGCTGACCATGTCAAAAAACCCTTTCTAATTTAATTAAGCTGATGATGTCATCTCACCAGTTACCATATTAAATGATTATTTTGATGATGATCTCATCGTTTTTTGATGACGTCAACTCCCTAGATTGTTATACAGACTACCTTTCTATTTTTAGATGATGATCTCATCATTTTAATCCCCTGAGCTATTGTGACGTCACTCCACCACCTCCACCACTGCGTAGAACCCCTCGTCTATTACTACTGTCAAGGGTTCGAATCCCGTACAAGCCTAAATTTTTTCAGACTTTCTTTTTGCAACTAAAAAAGTTGCGTCGATAACTGGGATCATGCAATTCTTGTTCTCATATATGATTTTCATTTATTCATAACTTCATTAAACCTACTATTTAGTCCGGGGCCATGTGTAATCCCGTGGGCATTTCATGAACATTTTAGTTTCTTGGAAGAAATCTAAAGTTAAAGAGGTGTTAAATCGTAAAAAGTTGTCTGCAATTTTTTCGAAGTCATGTAAGATTAATTTATGCAAATTACTTTCATGACCCCTAAAACACAGGGTACTCAAGTTTGGCTTTGTTATACATGGCTGAAATCACTCACATAATGCAAAAGAAACTGTGTACAAGCCAGCTTTTAAGTCTGTTCTATCATATAAAGCCTCTATAATGCCTTTTCCGAAAATTTGGAATTCTTAGCTGATGGGACTAGATTTGATGGTGCTCATCGTCACTGTTATCCGTTCTAACATGCTTAACTGTGTCAGTGTTAAAGTTCCTGTTCGTACGTTTCACTTTACATGAACCAGACATATCTGGGCATTAGAGTTTTTGCTTCCTGCACGTAGAGCCCATTGTGTTGCATGCGAATTTCATCCACACTGGATCAGCTGCAGAACGGCCAAAGGTGCTGGTAGGGAGTGTGGTTGGAACAGGCTGCATCTCCATCTTGTTGCCATCCGTGTAACGTTGGGCTAGGAATACTAGTATTGGGTTGTCGCAACACTTCCATACCAATGCAACGAGATTAGCTCATTTTGTCATCTTGTGTACGGCTGCTTTAGTAGGGTTTAGCGGTTTATCTACTTATTGTTTCTTGCTATAAAGGAAGAATCTGACCTCTCCTAGGGCTCTCTCAGCTGTGTCGATGGGATGTACAACTGGCAGACGAAGCGCTTTAGCTTTATGCACATATCATCTGGGATGGTGTCGCTGTTTCCTAGGCTAGAGAAGGCATCGAGCATCCATCGTTTGGCTTTCTTTAGATTATTCGAAAAACAGACTTTGCTTTTTCCACTGATGGTGCCTGTCTGATCACATCCTGAAAAAGAGTGAAAGCCAGGTAAAGCCTTCACGAGGTCCTCTCCGATCACCTCGTAGAGTGGTCCTGCTGGAGTACTTCTTCCTTTTCCTTCTGTCTCTGCAGTCAATGTAGTATCCAGACAAAGTCTCTTGTAAGTCCAGAGCATCAGAAGGAGTACATCTGTATCTTGGCTTTCAATGAATGTGGACGTTTCTCCTCTCTTTGTGGCGTCTAGACCATGCGGGAACATACGGGTATCCGCTTCTTCCTGCTCACTCCTTAAGTGTTGAATCGGTACAGTATTAGATGTCATGCAGTCACCTTTAGAATTTACTACATACATCATCTGCGAGTCTTTCTTGCACTCGATGAGTTGTTTTGCAAGTATTATAGCCAGTGCCTCCTTATTCTGGTTGCAGTTCAAAAGATCTTTCATACTAGTCTTTTCAATAACAACATCGACAGTAATCATTGTATATCCCTGCTCTGTTTGTAACCAGTCGTTAAACTGGCGCGTTACTTCCTTTAAGGAGTAGGGGATCTAGTAGCGGTCAAATACAACATGAACCTCGGTGGAAACATTAGTCTTAGCATCAACGACTTCTGTGAAATGGCTTGCTAGGTCACGCTTGTTTCTTACCCACAATGGCGTTCTCAGTGACTGAACTGCTGCAATGGCATAAAAAATTACCAAAGGTGTACTGAAAGGGTCTGGAGAGCGAGGTTGTGCTGTAGGCGTTTGTGGCTACTGATGGGGTAGAAGGCCTTCTAGGATGTTAATCAGCTTGCTCTTGTCAATGCAGTGTAGCAAACTGCCAGCAGAGGAGAAGGGTGTACTCGGAAACTCAGCTAACTTAAAAGTGCTTATGGTATCCTCCATGTGAAGATCAGGCCTTGAGAGAATAAAAACTAAGAAACGTTTGAAGAGACCTCGGCCATCCTTTAAGGGTTCGATTCCACTAGTTGTTTTCTTTTTCTTTGTTTGCCAAGCAAACTTCCATGACTTGAGATGTGTCTTTTTCTTGGGGCCTCGACGATTTTTGCTTGAACAAACTAATGTGCCAAAATGCGCCTGACCGATGTCATTTTGCATTAGCACTCCCTCCTTGATGTAATCTAGCATAACTGCTTTTGTGATGATGTTCACCAACCAGATGACTTTCTGTCGCGAAAGGGTCACTCACTTAAAGCACATCTTTAAGCTTCTGTACATTCTCGTTATAGCGCTTTGTTAGCACATCGCTTAAATCATGATGGTGTGATGATGAAGCTCTTTGTAATCCCACCATGTCCTCAGCTTGCGCCGCACGTCGACCCAGTTCTGGTGCCACAAGGAACCATCTTGCCATGGCTGCTGGTTGCTCTGTCCTCCCCGAACCTTCATCAACTTGTTGACGTGTTCTATAGCATGGTCCGGACCAATTGCACAGAATGGGCGCTCCTTCTTGGTTATACAAAAGTTTCTTTGCATGAATTCAAGGCAAATATCGGGATCATCGATCTTAAACCTGTGCATCTGCGCTAGATGTATATAGTGGCACCATTCGTACAAAACTCAGCCTGCCTTGAGCAAAGAAATACCGTGCCAAAGCCTTGAGGGACTCAAGGTGAAGATTCCAGTCTCCCTCTCTTGATGCGCGTATGAACAGCAGGATACACATCACAAACTTCATGTAGTCCTGTGCAAACTTGGATTAGTAGTAACACGGAGACTCCATGACCTTATTAAATCGCAAAAGCTTCTCTTGAAGCCCGTCGGTTTCCATCGCGATTAAAAAGTCTTTGCGTTGTGTTTCGACCCTCTCTCTCTTTATCGACCTTCCTGGCAGATGATTTTCACGGCAAAGGATGCTAGTATTAGATTTGTGTAATCGGCTTCGCTCTTCAAAAATGCCTCCATATGCAAATCACTCAGAGCAGAGTCTGTTATGCTGTGAGGTCTGAGTACGCTTCATACGTTCCCCTTCAAGAATCTACCGCATTGTATTTGAGCCATATCCCCGCCGCTATCCATTCTTCGTAAAAGCAACTACACTCGATTGATGCCCCAAGAGTGCGTTAAGAGGTCCTCGTGCATGATCATGTGCATCTCGCCGATTCAGAAAAACAGGTCGTCTAAGTGTGGGACCTTCCTAAACATAGTATACACCCATTTAATTTTATTAGTGAATGTATTGTTTTAATGCGGCAAATTGATAACAACAAATAAATAAAACTCGATAATCTTGCGTTTTTTTCCAGATAAATCGCATACACAGTAGTAGTCGTCAGGTAAATATGCCTTCGCACACTAAAATCAAATACGAGAGGAAGAATAACCTGAAAACAAATAAGGTGTTGAGTTTTAAACCACGGGGAGACCATCAAAACGCATGCCTTTTCTAGCTGGACTCTGACAGGATTATACCATATATTTTCAGGTGTTTAAAAATCGGCAGAGAACAGAATGAGAACTTTAAAAAGCTGGAGAATTGGACTCGTAAATTCAAAGGGGATTCATTAAAAGATGTAGTAAATAACTGGAGAAAAGAAAAGATGTTTCTGAAATGACAACCCGTGTATCTTGCTTTAAATATTTGGTCCATTCGTTCATTCCTTGAAACAGTCAAAATGTAATGTAAACTGCAGTTGTAAATGCACTTATTATATTTGATTCAAAACGTCGCGAATCAAACTGAAGGAATTTTGTTGTCATTCATCAGCTATATAATGACGTCATATCTAATTTAAATAAAACAGGCCTAAATGGCTCTGAAAAAATTGCAGACAACTTTTTTTCGACTCAGCACCATTCAAACTGTAAGTTTCTGCAAAGAAACTTTAATGTTCTTAAAATGCCCACGAGAACGATTTTTCTGACACATGGCCCTGGACTAATTATTGTAACTCTAAGCTTGTCACAAATTTCTATATAGTATTCGAGGTTAAACTTGAATCTTTCATGACTTATAATGACTTTAAAAGGTGAAATTTGTTCCACACCAACATGAACAAAAACAATAATCCAACTAAGTTAATTTTAAAGTAGAAATTAAGTAAAATTATTTTCACGCCTCTTTTGGCCAAGTCTTATTTTCTAACAAACTACACGTGCTTTACGTTTTGTTAGTTACGTTAGCGAAAATTCTAGGATGAGTGGGCCTCCACCCCATGGACCGCCACCCCATGGTCCCCCACACCATGGACCTCCACACCATGGGCCTCCACCGCATGGGCCTCCACACCATCCACCACACCATGGTCCCCCACACCATGGGCCTCCACACCATGGGCCTCCACCGCATGGGCCTCCACCGCATGGGCCTCCACCGCATGGGCCTCCACACCATCCACCACACCATGGGCCTCATCCCCATTGAGTTCACCGCCCTCCACCACCTTAAGGACAAACCCTTCCCAGGTAAGGTGGAAATGTTGTTTTATATATATATATATATATATATCAAATGGCACTCTTGTAGGTTAGGAACTATAGCAATACCCTGATTTCAGGTCCATAATTTTTCATCATTTGCAAATGTTTTCAAGTACTATATCCGGTTGGAAAGTAAACGGAAAACGGGTGATGTCAGTGAAACGTTTTCGAAACAAAAGGAACGTCTGTGTAGCGGTTGGGTTCCCTGTTTCTTTTTTTCCTGCCTTGTGTTATGAGACCTTGGCTTTCCCCCTTTCTTGTTATGCTTTTGGCAAGTGTTTGCATGGCTTGAGAAAAAAACCGACATTTCGCGACGCCACCATTGATGCCAGTTTCAGGATAGTTTGCATCTGCTTTTCCATAAATCGGACTGATTTGTACAAATGGTAAACGCGTTTGCCAAATCGTTGAAAGTTACTAGTCCTAGCCGAGCTTAGGTAACGACAAAGGTGACATCCCGTACGTCAGAAGTAACAACCATAAGTCGTTCTTTTCTCTTTTTTAATTGTTTGACTCGATAACGTCATACTACAATAATTAAAACAAAAACTGTCAAACTTGTTATGTCAGGTAGAAGTGTTTCATAGAGCGAACTGAAGACAAACAACTGTTTGTCATTCATGACGCCCGGGACGAAAGAATTGCTTGAACTCCCTAATTCTGCAATTTTCCCAAATCGTGAACCGACTAGTTTGCCCATATATCCTTGAGGAAGTAATATCTGTTACTTGCTAAGTTACATTATTATTTGGGCGTGGCCCAAATAGAGTAATGGAAACGGCTTGTTTTGACGCAAATGTGCAATAGGCACGCAATACGTGCTATCGTAAACAAGGCTAGTAAACAAGCGAAGCGAGGCGAAAGTCATGGCATGAGTGGCATGTGGGAAAGAAAGCTCTGCTAACAGTAAACACACGGCACTTTATCGCACTTTTACGATCTCAAAAGTTAATCTGAATCTTTAGTATTTTTGCCGCATCGAAATTTGGAAGTCTGAAGTCCATGGATGAAATCTATCAAAAATATTTGGAATATTAACGTCCGGTTTTGGTCACAATAAGATCACAAGCAACAAACCTTGAAACACAGAAACTCACAAAACGGATCGAAATCCACCAATCACAAATCACAAACAATGACCTTTTGAACCAGTTGAAAAAAACTTTCGTTTCCTAAGAGGTCCGCTAAGATGATTGGCGTCTGACATTTTTTTGACGAGAGGATCGAAATGCACCAATCATAGAAAGACAGTTTTAATTGCATGTTTCCTAAGAGGTCATCTGAATTTGCTGTTTTTCTTTATTTTATGTCCATTTTCTTTTCCTTATTTTGTGATTGGTCGATTTTGTTAGGTCGAGTGGATAGTCCAATGAGGGACGATTAGGATATCGTTTGATCCGAAATTTTT